CTGATTTTGATTTCCTCACTGCGAAAGAACATGCAGATCAAGAATAGGTCTCTACAGTCACCTACAGACCCATCACCAAGACCCTACACTTGGAAGACAGTCATACTCGGCTACGAGTGACAGTCTTTGAGTGGTCTCTTACAATTTAAATAACTAGGGGGTGACTGACTTAGTTGGACTGTTTCAACTCATTGCAAGGATGATGGCAATGTTGGTGACAAATTATAATGATCACCAAAATAAATTAAAATGAGAAATCTAGAAGACGATTACTTTTTGCAGGTAGCATATTGATGTGCACTGGTGATATACCATACACAAATACACATATATACTGGAGATCAAATATATTATTCACCAGAAACAGCCCTTTTAGTAATTCTATTTCACAGGCCCTATTGCTGTTCAGCATCTTGAAGGAGACTGATACACACTCACGAACCATCTGTTATGCCTCACAGCTAGAGAGGATTCCCTTGAAGTGGTTTCTCTCCAAAAGCTATGAAGAAAGGTAATCTTCTGGATTAAACAGCATCACTCTTAACTGCCTGCAAACCAAACTCTATAGGCATCTGATCAGTCAGCACAGGAGGTGGGGGTTGGGAGTCATGCGTCTAAATTCATCTTGGCCCATCTTTCTTTATTACATCCCTTGTTTTTGTATTGTTTACTCAATGTTTCAGTGTACATTGTCAGATTTAATTTAGATTAGCAATCATGTCTGCTCTGGCTTGCTAGTTATTCCCTCTTTATCAGAGAAATGCCAAACATCTGCTCTTCCATTTTAATACCTGACTTCATGGTAGTAGCATCACACACATTACCATCTAGTCTGGTTGCCGAAAGAGACGGGGGAAATGTCTGAAGCTGTCAATCATGCTTTCCACACATTTTTCTCCACAAAAAGGCTACTCAACATCCTGAAATGATCAGTTGCTAGAAATAGATAGTTATAATTCAACATTCATGCAGTGGATTTGCATGTTTATAATGAAAATGCAGCACTTAAATAAATACAAGTAACAAAAATGGCAATGTACAGATCCCTATAAGGAAGATCTCGTCTCTTGAAAATCATGCTAGTGGAGACAACAAAGGTGGAATCCAGGTTCCAAATGAGGGCCGCAGGATCTGCACTTTTCCCACCCTGTTATAAAGGAATGCAACTAATTATTTGGTTAAACGGAACTTTAAAATTTCTGTTCTCCATTCATAAACTATGTTTATTATAACACTAGCATGATACCTCTTTTTCAAGCACATCTTAATTAGTGGAGGGAAGTTGCTATTGACTAATTTGTCACTGCCTTCCTTTTTATTGTCCAGTTTTTACTTAGAAGGGATATAATGAGTCAGCCCATTTTAGGATGTGTATTATTTCCATTTGAAATATTAAGAATCATAGAATCAAAGAATCAAAGAGTTGGAAGAGACCTCATGGGTCATCCAGTCCAACCCCCTGCCAAGAAGCAGGAATATTGCATTCAAATCACCCCTGATAGATGGCCATCCAGCCTCTGCTTAAAAGCTTCCAAAGAAGGAGCCTCCACCGCACTCCGGGGCAAAGAGTTCCACTGTTGAACGGCTCTCACAGTCAGGAAGTTCTTCCTTATGTTCAGATGGAATCTGAACATGGTTGTACTGGTTGTACTAAGTTTTTTACATAATAAAGATGCTTTTTAAAAAAGCAACTATTTATGATCTCAGATTGCTCAGGGTCTTGGCTATTTACATTCATCTCTGTGCCAGGAATGTGACATAAACTATTATAGTCTGAAAAAACTACTGAAGTTGGGTAATTTTAACACAACCAAAACTTTCTCATTCTAATAGCCATGTTGCATATTCAAAAATCAATTCATTTTTAGAGTTCATCACAATCTCTTAGATAGTTTCACAAATTATTTCAGTCTAAGCACTCTTACTCAATTGACCTGGTCCATCTGCAGCCCTATCACCCATCAAATATGAATGTACATAGTAGACTGAGGTCTATAACCAATGGGGATCTTCAGCAACAGCAGATATGCAATTGCATAGCTATTACTCTACATCAAATTATGCCAGTTTTGTAGGCATACACCTGAAGATATCCTTACTTACATAAAGAATTATGTCTTTTATTGCTAGAAGCTGGAACAGGAGAGTTTTGCAAAGTCAAAACATCAACCTCAAATTGTTTAATCTTAACCACAAACTGGAGAGCAATGTCCAATCTCGATAAAATAGTAAAGAGTAGAGACATCAGACTGGCAACAAAGATCCGCCTAGTCAAAGCCATGGTATTCCCTGTAGTACCTACGGATGTGAGAGCTGGACCTTAGGGAAGGCTGAGCGAAGGAAGATCGATGCTTTTGAGATGTGGTGTTGGAGGAAAGTTCTGAGAGTGCCTTGGACTGCGAGAAGATCCAACCAGTCCATCCTCCAGGAAATAAAGCCCGACTGCTCACTGGAGGGGAAGATACTAGAGACAAAGTTGAAGTACTTTGGCCACATCATGAGGAGACAGGAAAGCCTAGAGAAGACAATTATGCTGGGGAAAGTGGAAGGCAAAAGGAAGAGGGGCCGACCAAGGGCAAGATGGATGGACGGCATCCTTGAAGTGACTGGACTGACCTTGAGGGAGCTGGGGGTGGTAACGGCCGACAGGGAGCTCTGGCGTGGGCTGGTCCATGAGGTCACGAAGAGTCGGAGACGACTGAACGAATGAACAACAACAACCACAAACTGTTAAGCATACTACTTTTATTAGGACTGTTATTCTAACGGATATTGCCTGATGTGTGCACAGCACTCCCTCTAAGTCTTAAGAACTGGAACATACCACTTCTGCTTTCTAGATTCAAAGCTACTATTATATTAAGAGGGTGCTTGCCATAGATGCAGGAGAAACGTCAGGAGAGAATGCCTCTAGAACATGGCCATATAGCCCGAAAAAACCTACAACAACCCAGTGATTCCGGCCATGAAAGCCTTCGAAAATACTATTATATTAAACACCAGAAACTCCTGCATTTGCTTTCAAAGCTAAGGTTGAGTCTTCAGGTCTTATTTTTATTTATTTATTTATTTATTTTAAGCATTTCTATTCCGCCAATCTCACCCTGCAGGGGACTCAGGGCAGAGCACCACATATATATGGCAAACATTCAATGCTGGGACATAAAAAACATAAATATACACAAACATTAAAATCACTTATATCCACTTTAAAATCGGTTGCTTAAAAACCATGTCAGGACATTATTCTATTATTGCCTCATTGCACTGCCCCAAAGGCTTGGTCCCACAGCTAGGTCTTCACCATCCTTCTGAAGGACAGGAGTGAGGGGGCTGATTTAATATTGCCAGGAAGGGAGTTCCATAGCCGAAGGGCAATCACTGAGAAGGCCCTGTCTCTCGTCCCCGGCAAACACGCCAGTGACAATGGCGGGACCAGGAACAGGGCCTCCTCAGAAGATCTTAATCTTCATGGTGGTGCGTTCCAACAGGTAAACTGGGCCGGGGCCGTTTAGGGCTTTATAGGCCAAAGCCAGCACTTTGAATTGTCCCCAATAGTAAACAGGCAGCCAGTGGAGCTGATTTAACATGGGAGTTGTGTGCTCCCTGTATGCCACCCCAGTTATTAAGCTAGCTGCCTCTCCTTGGACTATTTGAAGCTTCCAAACAGTCTTTAAAGGCAATTCCATGTAGAGCACATTGCAGTAGTATATCCTGGATGTGTGGACAACCATGGTCAAGTCTGACTTCCCAAAGTATAGGCACAGCTGGCGCACAAGTTTGAATGCCCCCTTCCTACTTTATTATTGATTTGTTAAACTGTGTGCACTTAAAGATGCTATGAAACAATTTCACCACAAATTCCACACTTAAGCAAACTCTAACCTCTTTATGTTCGTACAAACTATATTAGATCTATCATCTTGTGGATTAGGAGCACTTCGTCAAGAGTAATTCATTCTCTTGACAAATCAACTCTTTTACAGAATATGTTGAGAAAAACAAAAGGAAAAAAAATAGGGAAACAGGAAATAAACTCCCTGCTGAATGGACTGGAGAACAAACATCCTCCCCCCGCCCCCACCTTTACCATAACCCATTGTACTACCCCTCTCAAATCCACCCCCAATCCCTTTGAGTAATTTTGTTTTGTATGTACAGATATATATGTGTATGTGTGTATTTTTATACATATACACACACACACACCTTTTTCTTCATTTTCTTTCCTCTTTTTTTGTGCTCATCCCCCATTCCCTATTTCCCCATTAATTCCCTCGTTACTGATTCAATCCTGGTTTTTTTTATGTACCCTCTTCAAAAATGTACGCAATAAAAACAATTTTTAAAAAAGAGTAATTCATTCTCTATACAAAACTGTAGCCTCCCGCCAACTTCATGCAATAAGGATGGGCTGAAATTAATTTTTTTTAAAAAGGACTGGTGCACTTTTAAACTGAGTATCTGAATAAGAAAAACAAAGCGATAACAATTCAATAATGTGACTAATAGCAAAACAAAGGTTAATATCACATGATAGCATTACTAAAAGAGGAAGGCTGCATCACAAATGGATTGGTCAATCCATGAAACCTCAACCCTGAGTTTTCAAGACTTTAGCAAGATACAAGGACACTTGGAGGTGTCACATTCACAGGGCCTGCAATAAGTTGGAGTTAACTTGATGGCAATTAACAAATAGTGTCACGCTGGATTATACATCTACCCATCTGCTTCATACTAATTAAGAACAGTACTTTCAAGGTGGCACATTTCAAGGTTACTGTGCTTATGTGTAAACCTAACCTACACAGATTAAGGTGAGTAGTGGCAACTAGAAAGAGTGTTCACCCTCTGCTTTTCACAACTCTCATAATACATTTTAATATCTCCACTTGCCACTGATCAAGAAAACCAAATGCTATTCTGCTTCTGCTCCTTTGTCAGCTGGTGTCCTGACATTTTTGAACTCTAAGAAGAGACTAAGAGGCTTCACTTGCCTTAATAAATCCGTCCTTATGAAATAGCCAGCTGGATCCTGGATATGGGATCCTAAAAAGTCAGCCTTCAAGAGTTCAGGAAAGGATTCACCTATGGACAAAACACAGGGAAGTCAGAATATATTAGACAACTGAGCATGAACCATGTATGGGGACAGAGTAGTTGTGAAAGGGAACATATTTTAACAATACAGCTAAATGAATAAGAATAGTTTTCATACTATACAACAGATTTAAAAAGCTTTTACCCTTCATGAGAAATATGTTAATATGTGTCCCCCAAGTCATTTCCAATTTATGGCAACCCTGAGACAAACTTATTCTGGAGTTTTCTCAGTAAGGAGTTTCTAAGAGGGTTTGCCTTCACCTTTTTCTGAAGTTAAGGAAGTATAACTTATCCAGGGTGACTAAGTAGGTCCAAGTGGAGTCCACAACATGCGAGTGTGAAGAAGAGCAAACCAAAGACCACCTACTACAATATAGTCTGAGCCCGGTCACATGCACAATGGAGGACCTTCTTACAGCAACATCAGAAGCACTCCAAGTGGCCAGGTTTTGGTCAAAGGAAATTTAGTATAATGTCAAGTTTTTAACTTTGTGGGTTTTTTAATGCATTATAACTGTATTCTCAATTTGCTTCTGATACAATCAATACTACCGTAAGTAGGTTTCCATGGCTAAATGGGGATTCAAATACTGGTATTCGGAGCCATAGTCCAACGCTCACAACTACGGTCCAACTATGGCTCTCTGTTTAATAACTAATTACTAAATAGCAATTCAGGTTAGGATGCTTACAATACAACTATTTTGTTCACTCAATGCAAACATTCAGATTCAGTGAACAAACATTCCATGGTGGGTTTTTTGGCAAAACCCTTTTTCATGCAAATAGTTAGCAGAAACCAGTTCTTTAATTTTCAAAGAATTTAGATTTTTATATATTTTAAGGTGAATTTTTTTTCTTAAATTTATTAGCAAAAAAAAAGAGCCTAGATCTTAGAACATAGCATTATGAATATAAATTATAAAACTTATAATGATATTCCATTAACCTATTAGCAGCAGTTTATGGAAATTAGAAACAGCTTGGATCCATCCTATTATACTGCTTCTTAAACTGTGAGTCCTGAACCAAATGAGGTCCCAACCCAAATGGGGTCCCCTTAGCTCAATGTTGGGAACATGAAAACTTTGGCCATAGTAAGAGGTTTCTGAACGCCAACTAACATTTTCAGGAATCTATCAGTAACAATGTGCAGTGTTTTACAATGGAAATGCTTCAGCTGTATTTCATAAAATAAGAAAATCAGCCTGTTTAACAAGCCTTGCAAATGCTGATTTATTATGTTTGCAGGATCAACAGGTAAAACATCTGTGGAGATGGGAGTAAACCTTAACAGAAAGAACAGTTTAGATATAAATGAAGACATCACATTTGTTGATTAACTTAAGGTCAATTTGAAATGGATTCGGATTAATTGCTCGGTATGTACCTTCTTTCAAAGGAAATCTATATTCCTGAAATAATTATTCTTTTTTTAGATTAATTTTTAATCCCCCCTCCCAAATGCTTTATATCTAGACTTCTTCCTCTTGTTCCAATGTTTTGGAACAAGAGTCATTCCACAGAGAGGGGGAAATGCTAACAATGCCACAGAGAGCCATCCATCCCTGACCATTGCCACCATTTTCTCAGACGCCTTTTTGGATGTGGCATCACAGCAAAGTGTAGAAAGTTTGTACTTCTCTTAGTTTCTCCCTGGAGAGATTAAGCACTTGCCTTTCACTAACTCTACTCAGAGATGCTTCCTTGTTTTAAGAAGCTGTACTTATATTGACCCATAGATATGTCAATCCAGGTTTTGGGGGTAGACAATTTGACTAAAATTTCTAGACTTATATATGACTATGTACATTCATTAAATTTGATATTCTTCCAGGAAGAGATTTCAGTTCATATAAATCAAATGGACCCTGAATGCAGTTTCATGCATGTCTTTCACAGCATAGGAGAAAGCAGGGCTTAAAAGGACCAATGCCACTGACACCGTGCTCTGTTTTCACAATTAATATGCAATGACAAAACTTCATTTAGCTAATGAACACACAGAGACCTGAATCCTGTAAGAAACATAGGCATTCTCATGTTTTCTTCATGCCTATGTATGTCTTTTTTTGGCATGGTAGAGATTTGTGTTCCTTTCCCCAAATCATTCAACTCACCATACAGCCTCGAAAGCCAGATACACTGCATAATATGTCCATGCTGCACCTTGTTGGCAGTGGGCAGAATCAGAAAAATATCCAGCTATGTCATCATTGCTAGATGCTAAATGATTACATCAGCTTCGAGATTCACCAAAAGTCTCAGTTCTGCTGTAATTTATTTTATGTCTGAGCACAGGAACATAGCCAGATGGTTCTCTGATGCTGCTTTCTCCCTATGAGCTAAAGAATGGCTATACAAGGGACTAAAACTAAGAAAAGTCTCTAGCAGTTACAAAAATGCTTAATGAAGAAATAAAAGAAGAATGAGTATTTACAATGGTCTCCCCACTACAAGGCTGAAATGGAAGCCACAGCTTTTATCTTTTTAGTATGTGAAGAGAGGCTGGGAATGAAATAAAGCTGTATATAGCTGACTGTATAATCCTTTTGTGTTATTCAGATACTCTGATTACATCTCCATAAACCACATTTTCCACAAAGAGCAGATTTAATGCATTGAAATCCACTTTCTTTGAAAGGAACATTTCAGGTATCGGAATTAGGTTCCCAGTCCTTCATTTTTCAGTTTTCATAGAATGTCTCAAAATATGTAAAACTACAAATTCTGAAAACGACTTTATTTTTTTAACTGCATCATATGCCAGGCTGACAATCAGTTACATGAGAACTGCCACAATAGGTTGACAATAGCAAATCTTGGCATTCAAAGCTAGTTGGACATTTAAGGCACCAATTACATTTCATTACATTTTTAAAAATTAAATAACCTCAGTTAATGCTAGTGGAGGGCTACAAGATATGGTGGCACCTCCGCTACCACTAAACTTGTCAATGTATCTGCTCTCCTGGCACAACTCAGCTAAAATAGAGGAGAGGTGGTTTAAGCACAGCAAATCCTATTCAAGCCCTAAAGATAACCCCAACAACAATACAACATAACTCAGATAACAGGCTGAGCCTTGTGGGACAGTCTTCTTTTTGATTCTGTTCACATTCAGTTAAAGCTCAAAAGCAGAAAATCTGTTTATGAGACAGTATGGAAAATTAGATTATTTTCAAACTGTGTATGAAACACAACAGAATTTGAGTTCATTTCTCCAGTCACAACATTTACTTCCTATACCAAGTCAAGGTCAACTGTTTTCTTGGTGTTCTGCCAGAAATGTGCTCAAACTCAGCAGGATAAATCTGTAGACTTCATAAACCATCCAATTGGCAGTAGTGATGAGAGGTGTGTAAAAAAAGGCAATTTTCAGGTTAAACAGCTTAAAATAATTTTATTTGTATATCACCCTGAGAAAAGTCATGATAGTAAACTACATATGTGGCATTTGATCGACAGCAATTCCATAACCGAACCGGGCCCAGGACGGAACCCTGCTGATGGTACTCCACTCATCACTTCTTTCCAGGATGAAGAGGAAGCATTGGTGAGCACCCTCTGGGTTCATTCCCTTAACCAATTACAGATCCACCTAACCATAGTTAGCCTAGCCCACATTTGATTACTTTGTTTTCCAGAAGGTCATGGAGGACTTTGGCTTTCAGAAAAAAATGAAATGCAAAGATACAAAATGAGGGGTGTCTGGCTCAATAGCAGTACATGTGAAAAAGATCTTGGATTATCAAGGGTCTGGAGAACAAGCCCTATAAGGAGTGGCTTCAAGAGCTGGACATATTTGACCTGCAGAAGAGAAGGCTGAAAGGACACATAATAGCTATGTATACATAGGTTCACAGGTTCACAGCTTGGGTGTGATCTTGGATTCATCGCTGAGCCTGGAACCCCAGGTTTCAGCGGTGACCAGGGGAGCATTTGCACAGCTAAGGCTTGTGCGCCAGCTGCGCCCGTACCTTGGGAAGTCTGACTTGGCCACGGTAGTCCACGCTCTGGTTACATCCCAATTAGACTACTGCAACGCTCTCTATGTGGGGTTGCCTTTGAAGACGGCTCGGAAGCTCCAATTGGTCCAACGTTTGGCAGCCATGATTCTAACAGGAGCGGAACGCAGGGAGCATACAACCCCCCTGTTGCGCCAGCTCCACTGGCTACCAATTTGCTACCGGGCTCAATTCAAAGTGCTGGCGTTGGCCTATAAAGCCCTAAACGGTTCCGGCCCAAGTTACCTATCTGATCGCATCTCTGCCTATGAACCCACTAGGGCTTTGAGATCATCCGAGGAGGCCCTGCTCTCGATCCCGCCTGCTTCACAAGCACGGCTGGCGGGGACAAGAGATAGGGCCTTCTCGATGGTGGCCCCTCGGCTGTGGAACGCCCTTCCCACGGACATTAGATCGGCTCCATCACTAATGGTATTCCGGAAAAAATTGGAAACCTGGTTATTTGAACAGGTGTTTGAATAGACAGTGCAATGAGTGCAATGAACATAGGAATGGAACAATGGATGACGAATCTGGATCATGTTTTTAGTTATGAGAAGCCAGTGGATGGTTATTGTTGTTAATTGTTTAATGTGTTTATGATGTTAATTGTTTTTATATACTGTGTTGTTGTAGCACTTAATTTTTGCTGTTCTTGTTGTTAACCGCTGTGAGTCGCCTAAGGGCTGAGAACAGCGGTATACAAATAAAGTAAATAAATAAATAAATATGTGAGGGGAAGTCATAGGGAGGAGAGAGCAGGCTTGTTTTCTGCTGTCCTGGATACTAGGACGTGGAACAATGGCTTCAAATTACAGGAAAGGGGATTCCACCTGAACATTAGGAAGAACTTCCTCACAGTGAGAGCTGTTCAGTAGTGGAACTCTCTGCCCCAAAGTATTCTGGAGGCTCCTTCTTTGGAGGCTTTTAAACAGAGGCTGGATGGCCATCTGTCGGGGGTGCTTTGAATACAATTTT